ACGCTGAGTCGCCTCGTGCAGCGGCGCGACCCGAGCGTCAACGAGACATTGTCGCTGGTCGTGACGTGGACGCCGTCGATGCCCGAGACGATGTGGACACTCTCGCAGCAACTCAAGTGGAAGCTGGCCAAGTGGCTCCGGGACATGGCCAAGAACGGCGTGGAGCTCGACCCGATGCCGTCCATGGCGTCGACACTGTGCTTTGGTATCTTGGGCGATGCGACGGTGACCCAGGCGCAGATGGAGTCGTTTGCGACAGCCATCGCGACCGAGTCGCAAGGGGCCATTCGGTTGCAGGTGGTCGGTGGTTCGATTCCGGCTCCTCGCCCGACGCGACGCGCGACCCCTATTTCGAGCGAGACGGCGCCGGACATTGGCCATGGGACGCTGCCCAAGTTTCCGCGCACGCGCCACTTGCTGCCGAGTGGCGGCGTCACGCGCGACGACTTGGTGCTGGACCCAATGGACGCCAGACGGTTTGTCCAGACGCGGGTGACGCTCCAGGAAAAGGTCGACGGCGCCAACCTCGGTCTCTTCCTCAACGACGACTTTACGATCGTGGCGCAGAACCGGTCCCACTTTTGCAACTCCAGCACGGCGCCGCAGTTCAAGGGCCTCGACATTTGGATCCAAGTGCACCAGTTTGAGCTCATCGAGCTGCTTTCGCCGCCCGGTCGCTACGTGCTCTACGGCGAGTGGCTCTTTGCGCAGCACTCGATTGGCTACACGCGACTGCCCAGCTACTTTCTCGCGTTTGACGTCTTGGACCGGCAGGACAATTCCTTTTGGAGCGTCGAGAGAGTCGCCGAACGACTTCAAGAGACGTCGATCCACATGGTGCCGACGCTGCCGACGACGACTTTGGCCGACTTTGAGAGCTACCAACGCCTACTCGAGACGCCCTCTGCCTTTTACGACGGCCCTGTCGAAGGGATTGTGATCCGATGCGAAGCGGACGGCATCTTGGCGGACCGCGCCAAGCTCGTGCGCGACGACTTTATCCAAGAGATTGGCGACCACTGGGCCAAGAAGGGCGTGGTGAAGAACCAGCTGCACTTTTGAGCCGAAATCAAGCGATAGACTATGAAACCAGTCGAATACAGTACTGGGGTATGATTGTTTCCCTGGTTGCTGTAGAACTTGGGCGCATGCTGGTAATAAGTGATTTAACGACAAACTCATGCCGATGGAAACAACCGATCAGGACGTTTGGATGTGACCTTTTTGATGAACAGTCGCCTCATATACGCACCAATGAGCTTTGGCAGATCGTAAAAGCAGCACTGCTATTGGCTTACCCATCACACACGACACAAGCCAGCCTACGTGGGCTATTGTTCCATACGAGTGTCGCCTCGTTTTGGTGGGTCGTGTGCGATCCCAGCTATTGGCACGAGTCGATCGATTGGACTTTGAGAGGTTGCGATCGCATAAATTAGAAGATTCACTAGCAGAAAGCTATGCTTGTGCGGATACCTTGTGCCACGAGATGCCAAAGCGAGCGCCGACGTCACCGCCGTCGTTGGTTTGCAGCTCGTGCGTTCGGTTGCGGTAGCGCAGCGCCTTTTGTAGCAGCTGGGCGTTGGTCGTGTCCGCGTCGAGTTGGTTGAGCTGCGAGAGCATACTCTTGAGGACCTTTTCGGTGCGGGCCTTGACGCATTCGTCCGAGTATGTGAGGTGGATGTGGCGACGACTGCTGGTTGCGAGTGGGTGAGGTGCCATGGTTGGATGTTGTTGTAGCAAATTGGAAAATGAAGCTGTGGAAGGGGAACTGGCGTGGTAATTCGTACAGCAGGCAGGGCAGCGGGAAACCCGTCAGGAAAGATCGAGCTGTCGCAGTCCATTGCCACAGTAACGCAGTATAGCCACGTACGAAGCGTTAGGAGCATTGTGCGGGACGACGGAAATAGAATCTGGCCAATCACGTGCGCGTCTTTTCGCATCATTGCCCAATCAGGGATGGCCAATGAGATCTTTTTCCATCACAACGTCCCAAGCGTTGTCGCGTGCCCCTCATCAAGGTATCGCATGATTCGTACAACGCCTTGGCGCCTTAAGCGCAAATGATAACGCGAGCAAATCCTCGCAAATTTCGGTGCCCCATATAGAGAGAGAGATACTGTGGCGATATCAATCTCCAAAACCCTATACAAATGGTGATATATCGAGCGCTCGCTGCAGGCAACACACGTTGATCCTATCCAGCACGGCAGTCCAAACGTTAGAGCGCAAGAAGGATTAATGTCGAGTCCGGTGGCGTCGCCGGTATCCTTGTCAAGGACTTTTACCGCAAGCAAGTCGCATTCGATTTTCGATTTCCAAAGACCGATTTTCACACCCCACAAAAGATGTAACGTCACGCGCGAGACGATGATTCGCAGCATCTCGAACTGGCAATTACGGAAAATACGAATCCAATCAAACCGTGGCTTGCGCAGAAGAAAAGGTTCTACAAGCTTTCACAGCCAAATGAGCTCGTTGCCATCGCGCGCTTGCTGCAAGAGGCCCTTTGGTAGCGCCACCGAACGCACGAGGAGGTTCAGACGATCAGCGCGACAGACGTTGCACCACGTTTTGGTATCACTTGGCGCAAGGTGGACGTCGCCGCCAAAGCATGAGCGCTCCGATACCGTATTCATTGCGCAGTTAAACGCGAATACGCGTTTTCATGGAAGAGCGAGCGTCGTCGCGCTTCCGATAGCTTCAGTTGCAATGGCTGGACGGTGGGCTTAGACCGCACCTTGCCTGACCACCCAACGCACGTGCGTTCAAAAGCCATTTGTGTTTAGAGCCCGGTTGCGAAGACATCATCGACAAGTATGCAGTTGGATCGGGCAACGTCATGGTGTAATCATCAGCGGCATCTCTTGCGCGTTATTGACGTTAGTGGTGTTCGCGAGCGTTTTCGAAACAAATGCGGCGTACAGAGCGTTGTTGAGTTTGATTTTTAGTGTTGCGTTAGCCATCGACGAGGTTCTTGCTTCAATATTTTGCAATTGTATTCGGTGCACCGTCGAGTGTTTGAGCCTCAAGCAAGCTGCTATACAACTGCCTCCAGAATGAGGTCACCGATGATTGCAACCACCGCAGTGTGGCGCATATCAATCAATCCGTTGCGAAAGGAAACCGCACCGATGTGAGAAAAATGGTAACATCTCCGATCGAGGAGCGATCAAGGAGGTGGTGCACTCGATTCGGCGAGTTGTTGCATTTAACAGCCCATCAACACTCTAGATGCATTGTACGGGAGGAGCAGCACACACCCCAGAGACCGCGTACGACGATTGTGGCTTTTTGTATCGTTGCGCGGGTTACCCGCGAGATGCGCGATTCCATTGGCTCTCGAGCGTGTTGCCAGCGAGATGCGTGATTTCATTGACTAAAATATTGCGTACAAGTCCGTGCCTCGATATGTAAACGCGGGTGCCGCCTCATCGTGTTAACGTGGAGGAAAAATATCTCGTTGGCTTTCCTTTGATTGGGCGATAAGGAGAAAAGACGCATCTGTGATTGGCTGTCAGCTTCCATTTCCGTCGTCCCGCCACCACCACCACGCCGTACCGCATTGCGTGTTTATAAGACCAAGTACGTTACCGTGGAAGCGATAGCGATAGCGACAGCACGATCTTTCCGGTTGCCCCCCGAACGAAT